ATACCCAAATGTCCAGACTGACTCCCATTAGGAAGAGCTTGTAGACTAGAAATGGGTTGAAGTGTCACATTTCCCAGGCCCATCGGCTGCATGAATGGCTGAACACTGATGGTCTTGTTCATGACCTGGGATTGGAGTTGAAGGCCTTGCTGAGCAAGCACCGACCCCAGCATGTCAGCTGTGGCATTGGGAGGAGTAGCGATGGCACTCGGGGCCGAGCCTGGGAAAATTGCCGCTGCTCCCCCAACACCTATACCAAGTGCAGCACCTGCAGCCCCAGAGAGGCTGGCGTCAGGCAGTGTCTGTACCACCTGTGTAAGGCCTGGAATTCCAAAGGAGCCCAGATCCAGCTCAGCCTCCGCCTCCTGCAAGCTTTGCTCTGTGATGTTGGCTTCAGCCAGGCTCTGCTGCAGGATGTCACATGGCTCGTGATTTGTCCCGATCCCATTGCTCCCACCTTCACCACCCGGGGATCCTCCCAAGATGTCATCATCTTCAAGGAAGTCCAGGTCAACACTGACTCTGGGTAGGCCTGCCGGCTCATTGACCGACAGCTGGACTGCAGGTTGGACCTCTGGAACATGGCCCTTAAAGAAATGAAGAAGTTAAATCAGGCGGAGGATGTAAATGACGGATCTATGTGATGGTAACAAACGTTACCACAGATATGCAGACACAAAAACCCCGCAAAAAAGATTTGTTACGTTGTAGCAACCACAAAAACCTTTTAGAGTGTAGGTATGTTAGTGGAAAGGGAGGGTATTTAGAGATGCATGCTACATAGATAGAAAACAGGAGGAGGAGGATTGGGGGATTTTACTCACCCCAGTGGTAGAGAAGAACGAGCTTGTGGGGTCACTCGAACCATCCAATAGGTCGTCAGTGTCCAACTACAGACACACCCACCCAGGATAGGACAGACAGAAACCAAAGGCACCCAAACCAGCAGGCAAAAGCCACCAGGACAGAGAAACATACAGACCATCAGACAGAGGAGGACAAGGAAAGGACAGAAAAACAGTCCAAAGAACCCAGATTGTTGAGAACCAGCAAAAAGATAAGCGACAGAGGGGCAAAATGATAGGAATAACACAGGTGGGAAGCGTTGGTGTTAGCATTTCTTATTTTGTGAATTAGCCTAAGACAAAGGGAAGGCAGGGTGAAAGCATAAATAGTGCAATCAAAAAGCAAAGACAACCATTGAGCAAGAGGAAGCCATATAAAAAAGGAAAATGTGAAGGTAGTGCGGGAGGCGGGTTTTAGGGTGCACGTACGTGTAATCCAAATTTGACTTAAGTAAAAAAAGTCATGCAGTCCAAACTAAAATCTGCAAACCTAGGACTCCTTAACCCATCAACTACAAACCCATATTCTATTATTATAAATCACAAGCCTGGCATGTGTCTTTGTTCACTTCTTTTCCCGGTCATACTCACATGGGTCTCAGATCCATGAAGAAAATCATTGAGAGCTTCTGGGTCACTGCAAAAAGAGAAAAATGTGTTTACAACCATACAAGACAAGATAAAAGAGAAGACTGAACGATTTGTTAAATATAAAACTAATCTTGCACCATGTCTTGCGATGACTTACCAAATTACATCTAGAAGGCACCTGCCATCTTCATCATCCATGACAACTGATAAAAGAGGAAAACGGTTTTAGGTCCATTGACAATAAAATAAAAAGTACCTGTACACCTAATCAATCATATTTTCAAAATATGTTCAGTTACATGTATTTATTGTTATAATAACAACTTCTCCATATTTAATGGTTTGTTTGTTTAGTGAGATACGAGTCCTGATTTATGGTGTTGACATTCCTCAAATGCAAAGAAGTAAAACATTAAATACATTTATTGGATTTTTTACGCAAAGTTCCGGAGAATATTTTTGTTACAGATTTCTGTTGCAGTGTACTAGAATTACAACAAGACAACATGTCATTTCAAATAAGCTTCTCATTTACTCATATTGACGGACTTAAATATCTAAACCTGTAGTTCTTTTAAATAATCTAAAATGTCAATGTAATGAGTAACGACTCAAAACATCACGTCAGTATTGCTGTCAGACAACTCAGAGCAAGGAACAACACTTAAAGAAAATGTGTTTACATTTTACCACAAAACCCCGATCGTTGCAACAGTTCATGAATTCACTGAACGCGACGGATCAAGCAGCAACATCATGATGATAAAGATAGATGTTCGCTGCACCGAGAAACAGCGGATGGCAAAAGACAACAAACTGAAAACGCGCGGTTTTCACACAACCTGGAAAGATTAAGAGTGCGGGCTCTTGAATCGTTCCCGATTACTTTTGGACACCAAAACAACGATGTTCCCCAATAAACACATGGCCCCGGTTAGGAGGGCACCGCGTCCCCGGTTGCAGCTTTAAAAAGGGCAGAGCATCGTAGCCATTACTTGGTCTGAGCAGCCAGTGCGCAGGATATGAATGGAGACTGCAAGCGGCTTGCTACATGCTAGCTGGGCTTTTCGGAGAGCTTGTGCATGCATATTTTGCCAAATCTTTACATTGCACAGTATTGAACAGCGACACGAGCGGCGTAAGACTCTCATTTAATAAAACGCTGAATTTTGAAACCCGGTTTCACGGCTATTTTACAGCATTTTGATGCATCCGAATTGAATTTTGTTAGCCTAGCCAGTTAGCCTGCTAAGCCAAACCAGCCATCAACAATATTCAGACGCACAGCTAGCTTGAGCCTTTGACATTCAAAACAAACCCCAGAGTGACACAAATGTAACACTTGTAACCGCACAGCACCACCTGGATTCAACCGCAACGTGACGGTAGCGTTTGCTTAGAAGTGTGAACGCAATTGCGTGGCGAGCTATCTATCTCTCATCGCAAGCAAAATATGAGTAAATGTTGGAATACTCTTGGATGAAGGGGGTATGCTTGGGAATTTGGTGGAAAATGGCAATGTCTGCCGGTTCGTGCAGCGATGTGGCGTTTCGCGTGCTGCAGCGGTGCAGTTTGCGGCTTCGCTGCAGTGCGTGAAAATCGCAGCGTTCTAACAGTTATTCGGATAAATAGAGAAATCTCAACATTTGTAACAAACTCACCCGAGACGATAGAGGTGCAGGCAGCGCGGGGTCTCCGGGACAGCCTCGCACGGGCTGCTGTGCAGGACCCAACTAGATGCAGGAAACAGGAGACTTCCGTTCTGCCTGATGGAAAATTGTTGCGTCTCGTGTGGCGCCGAAGCAAACTTTTGAAGACGTATTCTGAGGATGTTGTACTTCAGTAATACAAATTATGCTTAAATAAAGTGACCAAATCGAAAAATACTCAACTAACAGCAAATGTCCTCCATTCAAAACGTTATTTTAAGCCCGTAAAAGTAGCGTTTGTAAGAATGTCAGCAAGTAAGGCTAATGCTCCCAACAAGTAAGCTCATTAAAATGTAACCTTTATGTTTTAATATGGGATGTTTCTGAATTCTCATAACCGACCCATCAATGTGTACTTTGAATTTTACTGCGGATAGAATCTACATTTCAAAACACACTCCAATCCTTTTAGAAGTGTGTGGATGTAATGAACAATTATTTGAATACAGTACAATATCAAGACATTTATCATCAAAGAAGATTTGTGCACTTTGAATAAATAAATTAACTGTCCCATAATTAATGTATATTTCTCATTAATGAAATTCGTTTGGAACATTGGGAATTTGGGGATTTTTCCCCATAATGGCTTTCAAGCTAATGATTATACTTTTAACAATCCAAGAACTAAACCGACTACATTTTGACTGTCAAGTAAATTATTCTGAGCCAAAGCCTGAACTGGAATGTGGACCAACAAAGGGTGATCAGATAGTATCAGTATATAAGGAGCTTTTTCACACAGTTGGACTAAAATGATTTTATACTTCTTATACCACATACACCAAGAATAAAATATAGCGGTGATACTTTCATATTTTGGGAATATTTTACTGCTCAGCATGCGGGAGAATCATGTTTTTGGAAAGACTCTTTTTCAGGCAGGAAAGGACTTCTAAACGCTGGGACAGCTGGGCATAACCAAATCATCTGGTTATGTCTTACATAACACACGGTCTAGGAATTATTTGGCCAACTGACCTTTTGTGTTATAAGTATTCTATAACACAATAATACAGTGGATTGAAATGTGGATTCAGTAACGGTTTGGTCTTAAATGTCTCGGATGTTGTGCCAGGGCCTTAAATAACCAGATAATTCTTAAAAAGAAAACATTTTTTCACAGCACAGTGAAATATAATCATTGCCTTTAGTAAGGACCATAAGGACAGTTAAACATTAAGTATGTGCTTTGCAGTTTTGTAGTTCTGCTTAGTTCAAGTATAGTTTTGTGTAACTGTTGTAAGATTTTACACATTTAATAACAGGAGCTGGACTCACAAACAACTATCCAAAATGTAAAAGATACATTTTCAGCTGAGCGAATACGCATCCTGAGAGGAAATAAAGAACTCCACTTCCCTACTCTCTATACATATGTTAATAGCCAATATATGAGTAAAAGACAAGTAAAAACATCGTAATTCAAATGAGATAATCCTTTATTAGTCCCACAGGGGGGAAATTAGCAGGATAGTGTTAACTGGATAGTTAACTGGATAGTGCAGCAAAAAACATCAGCAGGAAAAAAAGGACATTAAAACTATACAATAAAAGTTGTGTTAAATCATAAAAAAATTAACTAGAACGACAATATGATCTGATCGATACACATGATTGCATACCTAAACCTAATACCTATATTCAAGGACCGGACTGCACACAAAGATTGTGTTCACATTTGACTGCAGTGGCACATTGAATGTGTTTTTTTGCAGGACTATATATTAAAGCTAAAACATCCATCCATGACTTTGACTGTATCTGTTGTTGTTCAGCAGGACAGAAGCTGGCGCTCACAAAGAGAACCGGAGCTCAGGGGCCCCCGTGTCACGTGACAGGGGTAGCGCTTACTTTGCGGCAGGTGACGTAACAGGGAAAACGAAATCCGCTGCTGTTAGCACTGAATTGAAGTGCTGAAGTTTTTCGACTTTCCCATTTTCTCGGTCTTCCTTCAACATCGGAGCGGGGACACGGACGATGGACAATAGCGGGAAAGAGAAGGAAGCTATGGCGTTAGTGGCCGAGGCTGAAAAGAAAATGAAATCGTCGCAGTCGTTTTTCGGGGCGATGTTTGGGTGAGTGTGTCCGTTAGCTGCTGTTTAGCTACATTCTGTCAAAGCTAAAAGGCCAACTAAGCGGAAGGTGGTTAGCTGAGAACTTAAGGGAACACTAAATAAGAAGGCAGGACAGCAATCAAAGGGCAATCACTTCAGCAACTGGCATGTCTCTCCCGTTGGGTTGTTGTTGTTGGTAAATGTTATGCGAGTGTGACCCATGCTACAGTTTAGCTCTACGTAACGTTAGCGTTGTCTTTGCTCCCATCAATGCGAAAGAAAAGACAATGGTCTGAAATGTCTAACCACCGCATTGGACGAGGCTCACAAGTGCTGCAATGTCTCAATTACACCAAGTACTACAGAGTTTATAGTTTTATCCAAACGATCAGTGTAGCATCATTGCACGTACGTGTAAAGCGTGGTGTCGCTGCTTTAGCGCCCTCCACCGGGGAACTCCTGCGTGGTCACGCGGGCTGTTGACGCAGATCACGTGAGCACCACGCTTGTTTACAATCGCAGAGTGGAACGGGGAGTGTGTTTGTGTGACGTGTTAAGCCTTCACCCACCGACATTAGTGAGAATGGATGTAGCAGTCCAAAAACAGTTTGTTACTAAATTAGGTTTCTTAACTTAGAAACATACATCTCTGCCCACGGTTATGAAAAAAAAAAAGACAAAATATTGTTGAGATCAATAAAGTGTAGTAATCAGTTACATAAACAGAATATAATTGGACGATATATAATGTGATTAAGTCATGTATGTTCTCTCTATTTATAAAGAAATAAAATCTAGTAAACCATGATAACCTAAAAACACTTGGATGGTATGATTTGGAATGGGATGCAACATGGTATACGGTGCATTTTAATAACAAAAGCATAAGATGATATTCCATCACTCCGTCTATCAATGTTTCACTGCCGAGTTATGAATTTTGACAATGTAAAAAATGTTCAAATAGTTGATAATTACTTTCTGAACTTCTTTGGATAGTTTTAGCAGAATGATCAGTTAAAGCCTCTCTGTCATTCCAAATAATGTCGTCTTGACACCATCAATATCTAGTTATTGGCTAATATAAGACATGATATTTGTCAATTTGACTCAGCAATTTGCCTGCCTATGAGTTTTAACTAAGCATGTGCCCTTTCACACAGGGGTTCCTCCAAGACTGAAGAGGCCTGTGACATGTATGTGAGGGCGGCCAACATGTACAAAATGGCCAAAAATTGGTGTGGTAAGAATAATACTGAGAAAAACGATGCAATGAATGTCCCTTTACTTGGTCAGTTTACATTCGTCTTAAGAAATAACTTTTTCCTTTCAGCCGCAGGAAACGCATTCTCCCAAGCAGCTCACCTGCACCTACAGATGCAGAGCAAGCACGACGCGGCGACTAACTTCATAGATGCAGGGAATGCCTTCAAAAAAGCGGATCCACAAGGTGATCATTACTCGCCACCCCCCGCAGGAATTCATGCATTTACTGCATTATTTACAGCCCTTCCCGCAGTGCTGTTAGAACATGGGGATGTGGACAATTGAAAAAGTGGCATCAAGACCAGTGGTCAGCCTTTACTCTGGCACATGAAATCAGTCAAATGAACTGGGTTGATGTTGGATATTTTTGTCTGAATACAATAATTACATTATATTTTTCAACAGAGGCCATAAACTGCCTAAATCGAGCCATTGAGATTTACACTGACATGGTGAGTGGACTAACGGGGGATTCTTTCTTTAAATTCTCAAGATCACATAACCTTTGTATTCCCACTCATATTCTTTTCGTTTTGTAATAGGGGCGCTTCACTATTGCAGCGAAACATCACATCACTATTGCAGAAATATATGAGACTGAGATGGTGGACATCGAAAAGGTCAGATTTCTCAGATGTTTCATGTTCATTATTGCACGTTTTCATTTCATTTGAAGGCAGATTCTTGCTGCTATTTCTACAGCTGATAATGTTTTGAAGTGTCATTTCCTGTGTAAAGCTTTGTTTACCTTGTTTCAAAATGCCATCCAATTTCTATTCCAGGCCATTGCTCATTATGAACAAGCTGCAGATTATTACAAAGGGGAAGAATCTACCAGGTGACTATTTTAGATTAGCAATATTTTCTCTTTTAAGGTGATGTTTTAGTCTTTTAAAAAAAAATACAAATACAATCTATATCTTCAGATCTTTCTTTTAATATTGTGAGTTTTAGTTACTTGGTGGTCCTTGACCCTTTCCCTGTGAATACACGTGTACTAAGAAGCTTCCTGCTTCTTTTTTCAAATGTATTTATATTCTTTTCAGTTCAGCAAACAAGTGCCTTCTGAAAGTAGCGACCTACGCAGCTCAGCTGGAGCAGTACCCGAAAGCCATCGAGATCTATGAACAGGTCGGATAATGCTCGTCAGCAGCCTTCACACCAACCTGTCATTCGGTCGCTTGCGGTAACAACAGCAACATGAATTGTCATTTCAGGTTGGAACCTACGCGATGGACAGTACACTCCTGAAATACAGTGCCAAGGATCACTTCTTCAAGGCGGCGCTCTGTCACTTCTCTGTAGACATGCTGAATGCAAAAGTAGGGCCGCGAGCGCTGGAATTTGTGTACGGCAAGCATAACACAAGCCACTGTCCTAACATTCATCCTCCATTCCCCAGCTTGCTGTGCAGAAGTATGAAGAGATGTTTCCAGCCTTTTCAGACTCGCGGGAATGCAAGCTGTTGAAGGTATTCTTTGGCGTTATATTTGAGTTAAAATCCACAAACAAACAGAGCCAAGCGCTGAGTGATCATCTAGATATAGACAGCTGTTAAAGTAAACAGTTAATGACTTGCCTCTATGGAAAACAAGATCCTCATGATTAGATGTTCCCCCAAAATAATTTCACCCCATCAGCGCAATATTACATAAGCACAAGTACAGTTTAATCCCACCTACGACAATTCCAACTGGAGTAAGAAAGCCATGCTGGGGTTTTATGAAGCCAAATCCAGGTCAAACGTCTTGATCATTTGAAAAACTAGTGTGAACCTGAAAGTTTAAGATTTGGTCTTTGGACATTGAAAACTACAACGATGTATGTGTCTATTGGCAGCCTTTCTGTTGTACATCATTTGTCTTTCTATCCAACCAGAAACTTCTCGATGCCTATGAAGAGCAGAACGTGGAGGCCTACACCGACTCGGTGAGTGGACGGTCTCCTTTCAGCAGGAAGTTTGTTTGAAAATCCTTGACCAACAGCAGTGTGCGACAGTGTTTGGGAGTCGATGGACACACAGACAGAGGCCTGTGGAGGAGTGGGAAGCGGCAAAATAAAATAAATTGTGTTACAGTCTAAATACTGACTGTGTACATACACTCAATGTATGGAATTTGTGGGGAATTTAGTCAATAATTACCGCTCCGTTGCAGGTGAAGGAATTCGACACTATTTCCCGGCTGGACCAGTGGCTCACTACCATGCTTCTCCGTATCAAGAAAACCATACAGGAAGATGAGAGCGACCTTCGCTGACCCCCCAACCCGCTCGTGACCTCAAGCCCTCTGCAACCGATTTTCTGTTTCGCCTGGAGCCTCTCACTTCTCTTCTAGCAGCAATCTCAATTGTTGAACCCTTAACCCCTTATATTCCCTCTCAGATGCTGTTTCTTTCCCACCATCTGCAGAATTTGTTCTTTCCTCTTTTAATCCGCTCAGCTCTAAAAATGATTCTCCTCTAGGAATGAATACTATGTTATTTGCTTATTGTTATGATCCAGGTATTGGCCCAATACAAAATAATAACACCAGCACGGTTATGAAATAAAGGGTTTCTTTCATTTTTCTTGTCAAAAAACGTTTGAGGATGCCAATTCAATAACACAGATCGAATGTTTTCCGGAACGCGTTGGAGAATTATTCTAATTTACCAAATTCCAAAAAGCACAAACATTGGTCTTTGGTACTTTTGCGTGCTCGAAGCATACAGATCATATCAGGACACCTCTAATCTAACAGCACTGCATAGCAGCAGCAGAGCTCCACTTCCAGCCTGGAGGACAAGAGCTTCTGAGGTGATTCCACAGAAAATGCCCACTTTGCCTTATTCTGCCTAGTTCTCAGGATGTGAGGATTAACTAACAAAATTATGCTTTTTAGAAGCATTATCCATTCCTTTGCTGAGAACCTTTTGGCAGGTTTGGGGAAGATGAACACAGGAACAGGCTTTTCCCACAGCATAGGAGTCTGTGCGCTTTCATGTTGTATTGTGTGATTGTATCATATCTGCTTTTGTCCTGTCATAAGTCAACAGGCTGGGAAAAGGTCTGCACGAGAAGCAATACGTCAGCTTTTTTGATCCAAACACTGTGCTCATTTACCCTCCTGGTGATTTTGCCAAGAGACAATTGGTCTTAAATAATTTGTACGTCTTTCATGTTTTCTGTCATGCGTCTGAATAAACCTGTCTCTGATGTAACCCATTCTGAGTGCGGCCTCCAACTGCCTATTCCTCTGTTTTCATACGGTCACCTGATCCAATGTTCAGACCTGCACCTGCATGTACTTTTTCACCAAAATTCCAGTATAGAAGTGCACCTGTCAGAAGGCTCCTGCTTAATAATAATAATAATAATAATAATAATATTACTGTTCCGTCATGCTTTTCTTCCAGGATCAGTAGGTATTTGCATATACAGTAGACTTGGACTTTAAACTTGTATTATTTTTATTTTGAACTCCAGTTTAACAACCAGAATCTGTAGCTCGGTGTGCTTGATTGTAGTCTTTGCTGGTCGATCAAATATTTACATTTTGAATACATTAAGAACTATGCAAAAAGATTCATATACAAACACAAGGTATTCACATATGCACATTTGTTTTTTTCAGCCTGTTGTTTTTCACTCCGGAGTGAATGTCTTTTCATATACAGCCTTTCTTATGTATAACATAATGTTTGTGAAATGAAATGAACGTGGATTCAGAAGAACAATAGACGTTTCGTTCCTCCCTCCTGGGCGTGGCCTCCACCTACCTGCTCCACTTAATCGCAATCTTAAACTTCCTGCTTTCTACTTCGTTTCTCTTCATGGATTTCAGACATAATTGCTTCAGCTTGTGTTTCGTTATCTTGTGTTCGGTAAGTATTTTTTACACACATTTTATTAATCTTTTAAAGGGGTTTTCATGCCGCTCCGGTGTCTTTATTGTACTCGTTGGTCTTTGCCGGTTGATTTTTTCATTTTTTTACGAATGTTGATGGATGAAAGAAAAATCGTGGAAGGGTTGAATATTAAACCCAGGGGTTCCATTACCTATCCGAAAATTGCGATATAAGGTGTCGTCCATTCGTGAATATCAGGCCATTCGTATGTAGCATTTCAAAATTCAATCTCATTCATGAACCAACTTCTGTTCAATTTCTGATTAGATTTGAAAGGAAATGGAACATCGTTACATATTAATTCCACTTCATGTTGATAGTAAACTACCTCCAAGTGTCACTGAAGGATAATGACGACATTCTGATTCTGCATTTCAAAATAAAAGCCAAATGTCCTTCACGGGCCAAATTAAAGCCCTTCAAAATGTCATACAAGAGCCAACTTTCTTCAAAATCTCATTCTTTATCTTTCCGTTCAATTTTAGATTATATTTTAAAGGAAATAATCAATAGGTACGTAATAATTGAAAATGTCGGAAGTTGAACAGAAGTTGGCTTAGGAATGACATTTTGACGGGCTTTTCTGCTAAATCAGAAAGTGCTGATTATCCCTGAGTCGCACCTTGAGCCACACACATCGCTCTCCTTCAGCTTGAGGCTACTTCCTCCTGGCTCTGTAAAACGAAACAAAACGTAAAATTAGTATATAAACACACAACAAAACAAAGGGAGCAAAGCAAGTTTGTTTGTGTATTTATTCTCAAGGTTTGTAACGTTACTGACTTAGAAAGTGATATTGTAGGTTCATAACTTCACTTTGATCCATTTCTGTTCTTAAAATGAAGTATAAACTATCTATAAAACCGTCACAGCCTCAGTAGGATATTAGCCAGCCTCTAAAGTGTGAAAGTTAAGGTATTAAAGTGATTTTCACTGATAACTCAGACGAGCTGACTACAAGCGAGCTCCTGGCAACGTGAGCCGCTCGTTGTGTATCTGTTATAAATGTGTGTTGGTACATTGATGTTCATAAGAAGCAGTACATGAATCCAGGGGGGCGGAGGAGGTCAAGTGAGGAGGGCTGTATGGGGGGCAGCAGGACAGAGTAACGTTATAACTAAGAGCAGTTTCTTCTCACGTCTTATGTGTTTTTAAAAACAGGACATTGGTTACCAACGTCAAGTAACTTAAGCTAATTTATAAACTGAGATGTGATATTATAATATGGTGAATTCTATTAATTAACGTTACACTTAAAAGTGAACTCTTTCCCACTGTTAGCTCACTTGCCCCCGTCCAAATTAAGTCCTCGACGCCCCGCTAACCCTTTGGGCAGCAAAGGATAGATCAGATGTGTCCTCCAAATAGGCTCCTAGAGGACTGCGTCCCTCGGCCACGTTCGGGTGGAGCCGACAGAATGGGACAGCCCACTACAGCCAATAAATCCCAGTCTCCTAATAAAAGAAAATCAGTTTTGGTCCAAAAGGTGGCGGTGGTGTGCGGCTCCATCGGGAAAGTGCCCACAGGTTTGCTTTATTTCTTTGTGGCACGAGCGAGTTAAGTTATAGGAACAAATAGAATAGTTCAGTAGATGGCGATCCATAATGTTTGGTGTGCAGCGTTCTTATCTTTAGTTTTCCTTTTTCTTTAGTCAGTTAGTTCAGGTTTAAGAGATGTCATTTGTTTTACATGCTTATCAACCTGGTTCTTGACCAATAATTTTACTTTTTAAAGTTATCTGGAACCAAATAGTATCATCTGCCCCTTAGGTTGTTGTGTCATTTACTCTTTTCTTTTGGCAGGTACATTAAATCTGTCATCTGCTGCCAGTCTGTGTAACCTGAGGAAAACACCACCTTGAGCCAATGAAGCGTATTCACACCTTTAGTGCTTTGGTTGCCTCCGTCACCTTATTTCTGATCTTCTTCTACTCGACCATAAACCTAGAGACAACCTACAGTCTCAGGGAGGGACCTGCAAACCGTCTGAACCATCCTACCCTCCAGGTCCACATCAGAGATGGTAAATCACAAGCATCCAACCAGGGGAGAGTCATCATTCTTCCACCGGCTGTCCTCAATGTGTCTGTTTTGGACGGCCTCAGACACACCATCCCTCAAAATGGAGCCTACTGGAACCGCCTGCTGTACTCAGTCTTCAGAAATCCTTTCGGACACAACTCAAATTGGTCTCTGTGCAGGCAGACGAATCAAGAGCATCTGCGAACCAATATGCACGACTTTCCCTCCTACCCTTTCTTATTTCAGGACTTTTTGCAGGGGATGAACTGCAGTTCGCCTCCAGTCCTGCTCAATCAACCCAACAAGTGCCGCTCTGGCGAAGGGAAGGACGACCATCAGACCTTTCTGCTTGTTACCATCAAGTCAACTCCTAGAAACTTTGAGCAGAGACAGGCGGTGCGGGAGACCTGGGGTGGAGAAGGCGTGTATCAGAGTGGACTGAGGGTTCGCACTGTGTTTCTGCTGGGTAGTTCCCCACCGGAGGACCCTGACCTCAGCTCTCTGTTGGCATTTGAAGCGAGACAATTTGGGGACCTGCTGCAGTGGGACTTCCATGAATCCCTCTTGAACCTGACACTTAAAATGATCATGTTCATCCAGTGGACGGTGAAATACTGTCCTGACGCGTCCTTTGTGTTCAGTGGCGACGATGATGTATTCGTCAACACACCAACACTACTCAGCTACCTGCAGTCTCTGGAGCCTTCGAAGGCCTCTCGGTTGTATGCTGGACAAGTCATAAGCCAAGCAACTCCCCTCAGGGACCCTAAAAACAAATACTACATTCCCCTGAGCTTCTATGACGGCCCGTACCCTGCTTATGCCGGTGGAGGAGGTTTTATTATCTCTGGAGCGTTGATGCAAGGCCTATATTCAGCTTCAAGCGCCATTCCCTTCTTTCCCATTGACGATGTGTACGCTGGGATGTGCTTGAAGGCTTTAGGGGTTTCTCCTGAACACCACAACGACTTTAGGACTTTTGACATCAAGGATCAGGACCGTGAAAACCTCTGTATAATTAAGAAACTTATTCTGATTCACCGGCGCTCCCCACAGCAAATCAAGAGGTTATGGAAGGGCATTCACAACCCATTGCTGACTTGTTGAACAGGACTGGTGACAATCGAATCATTGCAGAAGGAAAGGTAATCGAGGGTTTTCCAGTAATTCTGAAATCTTGAACGGACTACATAGGGAGCAGTTTCCTGCACTGGTATGAGTCATACCAGGACTGTTTTTCATGATGAGAAATTAGAAGTGTAGTAATCAGCATTTTAAGTAGTAATTTCTCCTGGTGATTTTGTCAAGAGATAATTGGTCTTAAATAATTTGGACGTCTTTCATGTTTGCTGTCATGCGTTTGAATAAACCTGTCTCTGATGTAACCCATTCTGAGCGCGGCCTCCAACTACCTGTTCCTCTGTTTTCATACGGTCACCTGATCCAATGTTCAGACCTGCACCTACATGTACTTTTTAATCTTGCCAAAATTCCAGTATAGAAGTGCACCTGTCAGAAGGCTCTTGCTTATTATTATTATTATTATTACTGTTCCGTCATGCTTTTCTTCCAGGATCAGTAGGTATTTGCATATACAGTAGACTTGGACTTTAAACTTGTATTATTTTTATTTTGAACTCCAGTTTAACAACCAGAATCTGTAGCTCGGTGTGCTTGATTGTAGTCTTTGCTGGTCGATCAAATATTTACATTTTTAATACATTAAGAACTCTGCATAAACATTCATATACAAACACAAGGTATTCACATATGCACATTTGTTTTTTTTCAGCCTGTTGTTTTTCACTCCGGAGTGAATGTCTTTTGATATACAGCCTTTCTTATGTATAACATAATTTTTTTCAATAAACATGAATAGGTGCCTACAAAGAAATTAACGTGGATTCATTCATTCTGTAAAGTTCTCATAAGTGAGTAGCCAGATTCGAGGTAAGAAAACATAACCCTTTTAAAAGCATCGTTTATTAATTGAATGGTGATTTAGTTTTTAGACAAACTGCCTGTTCCACCTGGCCGCATGTTCACAACATGTATCACTGACAGAATTCCGTCGAAGAAAAAAAAATTGGCCTGCAAACTAATTGCTTGGGTTTTGCACCTGATCACCCGGCTGTAAAATCTGAAGCTTCCTGGTCTCTTTTTCGTTCCTCTTCAGCAATTCCAGACATTTTCGCTTCAGCTCGTGATCCGTCATCTTGGGTTCAGTAAGTATTTTTTTACACATTTGATTCATCGTTCAAAGAGTTTTGCATGCCGCTCCGGTGTCTTTATTGTGCTCGTTGGTCTTTGCCGGTTGACTTTATTTTTTTTTACGAATGTTGATGGATGACTGAACATTCGTGAAACACGAATTAAATATTAAACCCGGGGGTTCCATTACTTCGCAGAAAATTGCGATAAAGGGTGTCGTCCATTCTGGTTGGTGCCTTTTAGATCCCTCCGGTGTGTTATTTGTCCTGCTGTCGAACGACTCACGCAAAGGCGAGTTCCTCCTCATTCAACTCCAAAGAACTGGTGCATCTCAAAGGTAACGGAGCGGAGTACCTTTTTTTGCAAGACCAAATCCCCTGCAGCACGTTCAGACCGCGCCAGGACATTTCGACTTCAACAGTAAATCCCGGTCTCTCATTGGAAGCAGATCAGTTTTGTTCTAAAAAAGTGGTGGTGCGGCTCCATCAGGGAAAGTGCCGGCAGGTTTGCCTTATGTCTTTGTGCAGGAACCCGTTAAGCTATAGCAAGATATGGTAAGATAGTTCAGTAAATGGCAATCCATAATGATTGGTGCAGCGTTCTTATCGTTAGGTTTCCCTTTTCTTTCTTCATTTTGTTCAGGTTTAAAAGATGTAATTTAGCAAACCTGGCTCTTGAACATTACTTTTTAAAGTGATCTGGAACCAAATAGTATCTGCCCCTTAGGTTGTTGTGTCATGTACTCTTTTTTCTTTTGGCAGGTACATTGAATCTGTCATCTGCTGCCTGTGTAACCTGAGGAAAACACCACCTTGAGCCAATGAAGCGTATTCACACCTTCAGCGCTTTGGTGGCCTTCGTCACCTTATTTCTGATCTTCTACTCGACCATAAACCTAGAGACAACCTACAGTCTCAGAGAGGGACCTGCAAACCGTCTGAACCATCCTACCCTCCAGGTTCACATCAGAGATGGTAAATCACAAGCATCCAACCAGGGGAGAGTCATCATTCTTCCACCGGCTGTCCTCAATGTGTCTGTTTTGGACGGCCTCAGACACACCATCCCTCAAAATGGAGCCTACTGGAACCGCCTGCTGTACTCAGTCTTCAGAAATCCTTTCGGACACAACTCAAATTGGTCTCTGTGCAGGCAGACGAATCAAGAGCATCTGCGAACCAATATGCACGACTTTCCCTCCTACCCTTTCTTATTTCAGGACTTTTTGCAGGGGATGAACTGCAGTTCGCCTCCAGTCCTGCTCAATCAACCCAACAAGTGCCGCTCTGGCGAAGGGAAGGACGACCATCAGACCTTTCTGCTTGTTACCATCAAGTCAACTCCTAGAAACTTTGAGCAGAGACAGGCGGTGCGGGAGACCTGGGGTGGAGAAGGCGTGTATCAGAGTGGACTGAGGGTTCGCACTGTGTTTCTGCTGGGTAGTTCCCCACCGGAGGACCCTGACCTCAGCTCTCTGTTGGCATTTGAAGCGAGACAATTTGGGGACCTGCTGCAGTGGGACTTCCATGAATCCCTCTTGAACCTGACACTTAAAATGAACATGTTCATCCAGTGGACGGTGAAATACTGTCCTGACGCGTCCTTTGTGTTCAGTGGCGACGATGATGTATTCGTCAACACACCAACACTACTCAGCTACCTGCAGTCTCTGGAGCCTTCGAAGGCCTCTCGGTTGTATGCTGGACAAGTCATAAGCCAAGCAACTCCCCTCAGGGACTCTAAAAACAAATACTACATTCCCCTGAGCTTCTATGACGGCCCGTACCCTGCTTATGCCGGTGGAGGAGGTTTTATTATCTCTGGAGCGTTGATGCAAGGCCTATATTCAGCTTCAAGCGCCATTCCCTTCTTTCCTATGGACGACGTGTACGCTGGGATGTGCTTGAAGGCTTTAGGGGTTTCTCCTGAACACCACAACGACTTTAGGACTTTTGACATCAAGGATCAGGACCGTGAAAACCTCTGTATAATTAAGAAACTTATTCTGATTCACCGGCGCTCCCCACAGCAAATCAAAAAGTTATGGAAGGGCATTCACAACCCATTGCTGACTTGTTGAACAGGACTGGTGATCAAGAGATGCAGTTACCAAAAAGAAAAAACGTTTGCGCCACATCAGAGCACTGCAGAAGGAATGTAATTGAGGGTTTTCTACTACTTAAACTCTTGTATGGACTACATATACAATTGTGTTCCTGCACTGCTATGAGTCATTGGCCTCATACCAGGACGGTCTTTCATGATGGGGTACAGCCTGTGTGTTCAGCATTTTTAAGTTGGATTTTTCTCCAAGTGAAATGTCTTTAGATCCAATTAGCCGAACTTCCTTTTTTTTGGAATAAAAAAAAAAAACATGTTTTCAAAGTTCAGTTTATTCTTCACAAAACACCAAAGATGTGACATCTAACATCTAATATTTGAGCAGGAATAGATTTTTAAATATTAAAGTTCTATAGCAAGTTATTTAGGCACCTCGATGATGCACAAGGAAGCCTGTAAACTACCATAATCACTGCAGCGGACAGGAAAAGGAAAAATAAAAGGTTTTTTGTATTGAAACTGCACCAGCTGCTTTTGCTACACTTAAAGAAATTGACCTTGTAATCCCTCTGATACAAATATGATTTAGCATTTAGAGGAGTTTAACTTGGGACAGTAGCTGTTAACTTAAGGCACCACACCCGTAGGCATGAAGTACAATAAATGTTGAAAGCGCAATCTTTCCACCTTGGCAAAGAAATGACACGTCATATCAAATCTATACTTTTATGAATACAGTGAAAGTGTGCAACAGTTAATCCAATTTTCAACCCTCCAAAAACTCAACTCTTTTCATCCTGTGAATAAAGTTATTTCTCATACAGGTCAAGTGGGTAGTGCTCTTTGTACTGCTTCACATGCCTCCACATGGACTCTCGCTGGTTTTTCAGATTAGGCGTCATCTCCTGGTACACGTCGGTAAACATCAGCTCCACATTCGGCTTGAGGCGTTTCTCGGCATTCTCGAATGCCTCCATCACCGTCTTGCGAGACTGCTTCCGCCAGCTCCTCTCGTCGTCCTCGCTCCACCAGTTCCGAGCCGTCATATAATGTCTCAGCCTGGAGATTGGATGGTCCTGCTTGTCCCAGTAGTTCACCTCGTCCACCGACCGGTAGGCCGAGCTGTCGTCACTTGTGCTGTGGTGGCCGATTCTGAGGAATGAGCGGAATTGTTAATTACTTCAGCATTTTAGAGAGCATGTTTTCTTGTCAAGAAAAAATATTGTGTTCTTTTGTTAATACTAAGATTCTGTCAATCTGCTCAATTGAATTGGAATGCTTCCCAAATATGTACTTTTCATTGCCAGATACAACATAGAGGTGGATATTTAACACTGAACTCATTCTTCTGGGACAATGTGTTTTTCAGGGATGTCGCTTAAAATGATAGTCGTCATTCCCTTGTTGAAGCCTCTTGCCTTACCCTGTTGGAGCTGTGCAGGAGCTCTTCACAACCATGACCACATACACACAAGTCACTGTGGCCAAAGTGAGCCAGTTAAAGTGAAGATTACTACAGTTGACAACCTTGCTTGTTGCTGTAAATAAGTCAAATGATTTCTTTTATACACATGTTCAACAAGCGTGAACATAATGTGCTACTTTGTTAGGTTGGCCTTCTTTTTGACATTTTAGATTTTGTTTCCATTGAGACAATAACTTGGTCTAAGGTCGTTGCAGTTGCCAACATTAAAATAATTGTTCACTGGGGACGTCTACCCAACTAACCTGTAGGTCATCGCCTCAATGAGGAAGGGCTGGTTCTCGGCCACGGCTCTGCGGCGGGCCTCCTTAGTAGCATTGTACACGGCGAACACGTCGTTGCCATCGACGCGGATGGACAGCATGCCGTACCCCGGACCGCGAGCGGCTGTTCAAGCAGAGAAGGAACCACAAGTGTGTTCATTGGAGCCACTCAAGACTTAAATCGGAGCCTGCGCGAAACCCTGCGCCGAGGCTTCTTACCGATGCCGTCTCCCCTGTACTGCTCGTTGGTGGGGGTGGAGATGGCGTAGCCGTTGTTACGACAGAAGAATATCAGTGGGCACTCCAGGGTGGCAGAGAAGTTGAAGCCGGCGTGCGCGTCCCCTTCGCTGGCAGCTCCCTCGCCAAAGTAACAGATCACGGCGCGGTTCATGTTCTCTCTCTTGAGGGCGTATGCAGCACCGGCCGCTGAATAGGACACATAGAACATACAAATGTACATTTACAGGTGTGTAGTCTGAAGGACAGGGTTAACGCACGCACGCACTCATACACAAGTGTACACCTCACCCTGAGGAATCTGTGTGGCCAGAGGAGACGAGATGGTGACAAAGTTCAGATCTTTGGAGCCATAGTGCACAGGCATCTGCCGGCCCTTGCCGAGGTCGTCAGCGTTGGCGTAGCACTGAGCCATGAACTTGTCCAGAGGAAAACCGCGGTACATCAGCACTCCTGCAAACGGTTGACATTTATCACTATGCTATTTTGAAAAACATGTTTGCTGACTGACCTTCTCCTCTGTTTTTTATACATTTTCTATTTGTGCTGCTGTATGAAATGGGATCCCAAAAAGATAGATTTCATGATTTTTCTTGATGGCCGAAGGACTGAATGCAGGCAGTGCTGTCTGAAGGATAATCTGTTTGCCTCAGACGTCACCAGTCCGGAGTATTGAGCACTGAAGCAATCAATGGCGCACTTCATTATCAAAACCGTGTAAAGTCAAAAAAAAGAAAAAAACATGCTGTTCCATACTCACCAGCTTCTCTGTATTGACCAAAGACTATGTCGCTTGGGTCGAGGGCAGCAGCACTACCAATATGCGTGCCCTCTTCACCATAGTTGGTCATGTAGAAGGAGATGCGACCCTGTAAGAGAAACAAGTTAACATGCTGTCACAACAATTTTTTAGCGATTACCTTTTTAACCACGACATTCAAGCAGAAAAACTAACCTGTCTCTGTGACTCATAAAGGATGCGGTCCATTGTGTTCAACAGAGTCATCTTTTGATAAAAGTTCAGGACTGTCTCTTTGGGGAGCTGATGAGGGAACAAACACAGAAAAACAACCCAGCTATGAACTAAGTGGATAGCATGGGGACACTTAATAACTTGGGGCACAGGTCAGCTGATCGTACCTGAGGGTCCTGAGAGGGGTTGATGATATTGCCTTGTCTGTCCATCACCCGGTACACCGGGATGCCAGAGATGACATTGGGCTGGATGAACTCAAGCTGATCCACAAACTCAGCTGAGGCTCCTGGGAATTGTGGTTTTTCCAGTGATGAGTCAAAGGGTTGCTGCCGGTGCACGCCCTAGAAGAATACAATGCAAGCATTGTGTGTCATCAACAACTCGCTAAAATTAGACACCACAAAGGCCAATTCAGATGCATCTCAACAGTGACATCTAGAGAAAGAGAATGTGGGTTGAGCCTGAACGGGAACCTGACCTTTTCCTGGGTGTCAAATAACAAAAAATATTTTACTGGAATATTGCTTAGTTTCCTGTTTGCTGCAACAGTTGTCGTTCACTGATTGTGTGTTTTGTGATTTAACATTTTTTTAGCATTAAACAGCAGATCTGAGGGGTGCTGTCCCAATACTGTACATTATGCATTACTATTTAATCTCCAGAAAATGTTTGTTTTGTGACGCACATCTGATGGAGACAGTAGATTGACAGTACACACATCACGCCAGGAAATATGTCATTACATTTGGAAAAACGTAATATTTACTGCATGTAACCATTACATACAACGGTGTCAACAATTAAATTAATAAAATAAAAAATTATACACTTGTTTTTGTGAAAGATACTTCCACCTCCAACCGAACCTGAAGACGGAAGTTGTATCTTTACGCCCCTTAGTTCGACCAATGGGAGCACAGCTAAAATAACGCTTCAGCTAGCTAGCTAGCTGGCTAGCTTATGACGTTTCAGTGACAACAACCAAACACAAGGTGCACCAGTGCCAGCCAGCCGATTAGGCGTTGAAAGATATCTATTCCAGACATATTGACACCTGCAGGTTGGCGTTCATAGGGACGCTTTAGGTTATCGGTCGATGGTTAACGTAAAGTTAACGTTACGTTAGTTGCGGTAAGGTCGTCGGCTAACGCAAAGCTAGCTGGCTCTCAACCAATCGCGATAACTAAACAAGTCCAACAACGTGTTGTGAATCCTTGATTGATGACCAACAGCTAAATGTGTCTGGTCCTGGCCTCAAACGGGTCAATTTAAAAGTGTATACCTGCAACTAATCATTTAACGTGACGTCTCCAGTTACGATTTAGGGTCACAATAAGACGACTTCTTCCAATAACCCCGTGGTTGCTAAAACGACCCTTCGTGTTATTAAGCTAGTCGTAGCCATAACTTAACTTACGTTAACACCAACGTAACGATGTAGCACCCGATCAAACTTACAGCGACTCTGAAGGCTCTGCGTTGGAGCAGCCGTGATGCCTTCGGTCCGGTCGTCTGGCGAGCTGCGTTGAAGCACACTCCGTACATTTTGTTCATGCTCCTCACAGCCGCCGCCATCGGGACAGTTCGCCGCTAGCGTGTTTTCAAGCTGAACGAGGAAAGTTAATCTCGACGGTAGCGAACAAGCAGCAGAACGAGCTAACAGGGAGCGTTTGATCGCCGCACTGACATTGGCTTTCACAATCACATCGGCAGGAAGAATAGCTACGAACAAGTCAAACACAATAACCGTGGCATCCGGTCACACCTTCACAGTAAGAGTCGAGCTGACCAAAAGCATTTATTTAGCAGTTTGTAGCAGGGAGCCGATGCCAGTTGAAGATGTTCAATCTTTTATTTTGGAAATAGTACCACAGTCTTTCTACAGAATATAAAATCGTTGTTGTAATCAAAACTCGACATGCATATAAACTACAAGCGATAGTACCTACATGAATGTACAGTGACGTTATCTTTTTTAATAAATAAATAAATGCATAAATTGCAACCCTGGCATTAACAGATATGCTGATATTTATTTGATACTATTCTTTAGAGGTACCACAGTAACTGAATAGTATCAGCCTGCGATCACTGATACAACACGTTACTTGGATTTTGTAGCAAAAGACATATAATAGTTATTTTAAAACATAACTATTGCATCTGGGCTGCCTCCACTACTCCACCAGGCATAACGTTTTTGGCACAAGTAAATGCGGATTTTAGTGCAGAAGAAAAAGCGAGAAATGATACTATTACTTTCACAATATAACGTTAGTGATCTAACTGAAGCTACCAGGAAAAAATACAAAATGATAATTAATAAATCAATAATCAGTGGGAATGAATAAACTATATGATTATATATACAAATAGTAAAATAATCTGAAGGTATCAAAATATGCATTGAGGGGCCCGCAATGTCATAAGTAAGGGCCGCGGATGACAAAGCAAGTTGCGTCACTCGCCTGCGACGAGCTGGAGGCGGTCGTGTGCGCGCGTCTGTGTTCATGTGTAGCCGCCGTCCAGCAGCGTGATGGAGGTGTGCGGCTCTCCCGCTGTTACTCTGAGAGAGTTTGGTTGTGAGCAGAGTTTACTGTCTCGACCCGACGGTTCAGCTTCCTTCATCCAAGGTAACGAACCGGAGGAAAACGACTCGCGGGGCCGCGTGCTGCTCGTTTTAGCATCAACATAGTTTGGTCAAGGCAGTCATACGTTGGATTGTGTGCGGGTCACTTTAGTTAAATTATTCACTCTTACAATTCACGCGTAAAGGTAGCAATACTGTCGCGGTGTTTAAATTCCACTTAAGTAAACGTTCAAAATGATCAAGAATAAACTATACCAGACGTAGTACTTAAGAGCTCTGTGGATAGATTTACCGTTGAGTTTGTGTTTTAAATAGAACGGTTCGCTTTTTATATATCGTGTCTGTCTCTACGTCATATTCTATTGTAAGTAATCAGCATTTCACAATGATTGTTGTATAATTGGGCATTAGATTTGCTTTTTCAGTGCACTAAACTAACTAGTCTTTCAACAACAGTCATAAATGTTACACCTTTACATCTTAAGTTCTAGTTGTCGTTTATCTTTTAAATTCTAATTCATTTCACTCATTTGGTCATAACCGGCACACCTTTCGGAGGTCAGCACTCTACTACCAACTGGATCAATAATGTATCTCAAATAATACGGTATTTTATTTGTGTGTGAAGGAGACACGAGTGTCCTGGCCGCAGCTTATGGACCAGCCGAGGTCAAGGTCAGCAAGGAAATCTATGATCGGGCAACACTGGATGTGTTGATACAGCCCAAAGTGGGGCTGCCAAGTAAGCGATCATCTCATTTCTCACCACTTCATAATTATTTCATGCGTATTAGGCTCCTGAATGCTGCTTTAACACAACGTAGGCACCTTTATGGGGAACAACTTACTTTCTAAGAATATTTCTAGCACTTATTTGCTTTGCTAATTTTCAGTTTTTAATATTTTCTCACGCAGGCAAGGTATTTTAGTGCGCAATAATGGCCGTACCACAACACACCACTAAGTGGTGTAAGTGGGCCGGTTTGTTTCCAGTCTGTATCCCAACAAGTCTTTGTTTTTCCAGGTGTAAGGGAGCGAGCACAAGAGCAGTGTGTGCGAGAAACCTGCGAGGCATCTCTGCTCTTGTCACTTCATCCTCGCTCCTCCCTCACTCTCATTCTTCAGCTGATACATGATGATGGTTCGGTATCCTTCAGTAAAGCTCAGCTGCTGGGGCCCTGAAACCGGATGTTTTAAGATGTTTTCTGGTCCGTGCTCTTCCTTATCTGTTCCTCAGATCTTGTCCTGCTTTTTGAATGCTGCCTGCATGGCTCTTATGGATGCCGGCCTGCCGATGAGTTTCTTGTTCTGTGGCGTAACTTGTGCCATAGACGTAGACGGGCAAATCATCACAGACCCCACTGCGGCGCAGGAAAAGGTAAATCTGAGGCTCATGTGCTGTGTAAAAAAAAAAAAGTCCAGTCTACTCAAAGTCCAAATCCCAGTGAAATAAATTGTTGGTATGAACATTGTGCTTTCAGCTATAAAACGGTTAGACTAACTATCTAATCTTGCATAAAATCACGGTTTGATGGATTCCAAAAGACACTTTAGGAAACATAGAAGTCTAATGTTGTGTTAACATCTACTGAAAGCAAATTATTCGCACGAGTAGATTAAATGCACAGACGTGAATGGTTGCGAACAAAGCAAATTTTCTACAGGCGGCATGAAGGACGCGAATGGAGCGAAGCAAATATTTTTTTCCTCATTTGCAAAATATTTGGACGACGCTGTCTTGTGAAAGCCAATCAGCATTGAGACGCTGCACCCGTCATCACCGCCGTCCTGCTGCCAAAGCTGATATATTAAGAAACTGACAATCACCGAAGACCAGTAGACAGGCGCGCCGCAGCTGAGCTTGAACGCCTGTAAGTTAGTCGATGTCTAACCGAGATCCTGTCACCGATCCGACGGGTCATCCAACTAGCTGCCGGTTTGCCTGAATCCAGACTCACTTCCTGGAGGAGTCTGTGAAATTCACCAAGCTGTGTGCGGTGACGGACGATGTCATGAACGCAAACACGACGGCGTTTGCGGTTCTGACGTTTGTGGAATTTCCACAACAAATGCAGAGCAGAAATAGTGGTTATTTCCATGGCGGAGAGCAATAAATGGTTACCGTCACGCAGCTTCCTGGCCACACCTACTTTCCTGCGCGAATGAAGCGAATATGCGAACGACACAAATGAACCACAAATAGTCGGGCGAGTGAACTCGCGCAAATAAAGGGATGCAACGTGACATTACATTAACAGAGGCAGACTCTGAGAAAGTGAAAGGCCGCCCCACAAACGGAGGGTGTGGAGTTTTACGTTAACACAAGATGACGGAATCATTTCATAACATTGAAGATGACGGATTGATTAAATATAACTGAATTTGTAGCCTGTGGCAATTTCATTGTTTCAAGTTGTGCAGCCTAACGCAATTTGCATATCCTCTAATCCGTTAATTTGTTCTTGTCTGTGGCCGCTCTCCCCAGGAAAGTCGTGCTGTGATGACCTTCGCTATTGACAGCAAAGAACACAAAGTTATGATGTCGTCCACCAAAGGGTCGTTTTCGGTGAACGAGGTTTGTAAATGGGTGTAGGTGTTTTTCTGTAAACATTCCCGATGTGGGACAGCGTTGTCCGTGACCTGTCTGCCGATAACAAGATGATTTTCATACTCTGCTTCTATTTATATATCGACGACCTTTCATATATTTGTTTCTTCTACAGCTGCAGCAGTGTGTTGCAGTCAGTCAGAAAGCATCAGAGAAGATCTTCCAGTTCTACAGAGACTCTGTCAAGCGCAGATACTCCAAAATCCTCTGAAGCAGAAGCTCTTTTCTTTCTCAGTCTTTTTTTTATTTTTATTTTTAGAATAAATGTATATACTGATGTTAAAGCATTTAATCACCACATTGGGCTACCATTGCTTCACTTGAGTTGTAGTGAGCTGACTTGCAGTTGAGACGGCGTTTAACTATTGTGAAGGTGCAAAATAAAAGAGCAGAGATGAATGTTAAACAAGTGCATTTATTGTGATTCATCAATTTTATTTTGATTTATTTACATGTAATAAAAGGATGTGGAATAAATATAACTTGTACTCTCATTTTTCATAACCTTTGACCTTCTCTTTGACAATCTGTACAATGTGAGACCAATCTGACTGGAGCCCGACAGGTTGACAGCGGAACCGTCGAGGCAATCCAAAATAAATGCTTGTGTCTAAATCAATAATTGGGATAACTCTGCTGTAACAACAAAGGGTCGTATTTTTCTTTTCTGTCTCGGGATTCACGACTGCACGACACTGAAGACTGGTCAGAGGGGCATCCTCGCAGCACGTCACCGGGGATCGTGTGTGTGTCTACATATATCACCTACAGTGACCATTTTAATTATCAGTCTTGATACAACACTGGGTTTGCAAAAAAAACAAAAGTATTTATCGTCATTGGGAGACTATAAAAACTATCCATCTAAATAGAAAACGTCAAGTCTAACTGTACATCTTTTTTTTCTTAATTTACTTCCTTAATGGCACACTTAAGCTCAAACCAATATGGCCAGAGTGTTTTGACTTTTACCGAGGCTGGTTTCTTTGCAATAGTTCAGACCAGGTGAAGCAAGTAAGGGATCGTAGCTCTGAGCAGGTCCGTAGCTGGCAAACCACAAACTGGCCATGCAGGTTCCTGACGTGACCCAAATGGAGGTTTTACTGACTCATGCATCACGTGGCTGTGCGTCTCGCCAGCCAACCCTTTCTTTTTTTCTTTTTTACCCCTTGCTCATCAGAACAAAGCGTTATGTTTGCTTACATAAGTGTAGGCTAACAACTTTATTTTCAAGTTTGTCATATTATGGCAAGAAGTGAACTTTCTGGAGGGTTCCAGTTGTCTTTTCGAAAGAGAAAGTAGCAGAATCTATATCTGGAGAGCCTGGTTGCTTCTTTTCATGGAACAGTTCATAAAAGGATCATCCTTGGAGTATCTTCCTATACTTTTGGCACTTTCCCTTTCATGTCTGCACCTCCCGTCTATGTCATCCTTTCCTAACACTGTAAACAGAAGCAGTTCCTTTATTTTCACAACGAGAAACTGTGTTTCGCAACACTACTTTGCTTTTCATTCAGAAACTCTTAAAGTTATCTTTATTTTTATTATATAATGGCACGATATGATACTAAAGATATTCATTGAACTTGGCATCAAACAAGGCAGATTCCGTCTGTTCTGCAGGTTAACAATGTGACGCAGGATGTTAAAACCAGGATGCACATGTGCAGTGAGTAGCAAGACACTCTGGCTTCTCTGGAAGATTAACGCTTCTGGATCCACATATAAAAAGAAAGGGAAAAAGCTGCGGGGTTGTAAACGCCGTCCCCAGCTTTCACCCCCCCCCCTCCCCAAAGCGACAGCATAACGAGGTCCATCAGGATTTAGCTGCTGCCTCGTCCTTGCAGCGACCTTCTCACAAATCTGCAGCCTCCACCCGCCTTCCTCCTCCCGGGCAGCGCGTCTCCTCGCTTTCTGCTTCCAGTGACAGTGATATCTACAGTGTTGCCATAACATCTGCATTTTTTTGTCCCAGTTTTTTTGTTTATCCTTTAAAATGTGACGACAGCAAAACAATTGAAAGGATGACAGAGAGCTTAGGTCCTTGAGAGACACCATGAATCACATTTACAGACTGAATCTTGGATATGTATAGTGGACGTGATGTTTCAATGAGGACTATCCTGTGAGCTAAATAATGCCCGCCTCCCATTAGAGGTGGTTATGAGCAATGCACCTGTCCTTTCTTCTTCCAGCTGTCGTTGGGTTGACACAAAAAACACAGATTATTTTTACAGTTGTGTTGGTATTCATGAGATGTGTGACGTGCGTGCGTGTGGTAAGAGTTTGCTTTTATGGCGGTTTTCCAGACAGGTAGGAAATCAATGCGGCGATGGCACAGATGTACGTGATGATCCCAAACACGATCGAGAGCACCGAGAGCCACAGGGCCTGGCGAGACGCCGCCGTGGCCCCCTGAAAATCCCCCTCAGCCGACGCCTTGTTAGTCTGGTGGAAACAGCAGAGGAGAGAAGGATTAGAGGATTGTCCTCCCAGGCCTCCACGTTCCTCCTCCAATCATTCCAGTCACACGCTAAACCCTCCAGTATCTTCCCTCTCCAATCCCACCCAGCGGTTGTGCCACGTTCGTCACTTTCCCCTTCCGTCCTCTCCCCCCTGCAGTCCTCGCCATCGACTCCGACCTCTGTTTCGAGGCGGCACTCAACAATATTGGAAATCTATCACTTTGGGGCTTCTTGTTATGACCCTAATTAAACCTTAACAAAGGGCATTGATCGGATCAAAAGGCCTTTGCAGCTTGCTGCCAGTTAGCTTTTCAAAGACGTTAATAGAATCACCCCCCCACCCCACACACACACACGTTGCTGAAGGAACGCCTATATGAACTAAGGGGCCTCTGGTGACTAGATAGAGATGTTATGGGCTTTTCCACACAGGTTATAGTGACTGATGAGATAGTTGGTGCAGTGTTGTTGTCCTATGATCCATTTGATCATCTCAGCTATCAAATTACTCATATATATACTCATATATATATATATATATATATATATATATATATGGGTATACTGGACCTGTTTTCTGGTCTTTGCCACAGAGGGTATGAAGTCATCCGTGTCTGTGAACTACAGTGCCAGGTACTATCTTGTCAGCTCTGGACTAAGTGTGCATGTGTGTGTGCACCTTCTGTGAAAGGTAGAAGGCGGCGATGCCCAGGGGCCAGAAGCAGCAGAGCATAGAGAAGAAGGCCAGACCCAGGTAGTCCTGAGGGATCATCAGGGGGAAGTTGCTCTCACTGTCTGTATCACTGAAGTCATCAATGGATGAGTCCTGGGAATAAAACAGAGCACATGAAGCTTGGCAGAGAGGTTCTCTTTGGGATTTCTGCCATTACACAAATGCAATAGAAATGAACTCATTATGTATTATTTTTTACCAGCAATTGGAAATTACATTTAAGATTATTTAACAGCCACGTGTCACTTCACAATGTGTCCCCATTACACTGGATAATCCACAGAACACAATGTGAATATTGCTCACAGGGATTATTTATTTCATTCAAAAGAGACGTGTGGGTTCTGCAGAGAAGCCGGGACATTGTTTCTGCAAGGAAAATAAATTTAACCAATCAAATTCCAATTCACTTTGTAGCAGCGCATTGCTCTAGTTTTCAATAGTGTACAGTTAGCAATACTGTGTGTTCATTTACTTTCAATCTCGTAATGAAGGTAAAAAGGAATAAAGCCCATAGTATCTCTGCATCCAGATGTGGATGAATAAGATATACATAATATAATAAGAAGAATAATAAGATAATGCGCTCTAACGTGAACTCACTGCTTTATGGACGCATTATGTATGTGCTTGTGTTATTGTGCTCCCTTCTTCCAAACAACAGTAAAACCCGTGCTGGTGCCTGTTAGCTAATGTGACTGAATGGGGTTAGCCTGGATGTGCACTAGCTCTGCTGACCGCCGGCGATTTGTGACTCATGCATCTTTTTGAAAACAGCCGCATATTCATTCTGACTTCCTCTCTCTTCACTCTGACCCTGTCACACTGCTCTGCTTGCAAATGGAATTATTGTGCATTTTCCAAGATGCTTCTGGATCAATTTGCGCAAATGCTTCACCGACCAGCATCCCTTTAAAAATGTGTGCTTTTAAACATCAAAGAAGATCATTCAGAGGGAAGCTAAAGAGTACATCAATACGACCAGGTCTTCAAAACTTCTCCTGAGGTCACCTCCTCGGCTTTACTATTGAAATGATCATTCAGCATGAAGCAGTGACGGAGCTTGACTCCTCTAACGGGGGGTTCGGAGTGAAACGAGGTCACTGCAATGTTTTATTCCCACTGGCCTTCGCCACTACTGCCTTCCTGTCCTTGTGGAGAAAACTCCTCACCTAAACGTGTGTGTGTGTGTGTGTGTGTGAGTGTGTGGCCCTACTGTGTGTTGCTTAAATTCTTAATCAAAGTCGTAATCGGAAAAAACGCCTTCAGCACTTCAGTTCGCAGTGGGTGATCAGACCTTTGTGATGTGACCTTGCAGAGAGAATTTTCATAATTATCTACAACGACTTGCAGCTATTTACTTTTTACCGCATACACATTCTCATGTTCCCTCTCAACACGTCAGATGACCACTGGGAGACTCTCAAAGCTAATTGACATCCCGCTCCAGGTTGGGCTGTGCTCGGTGATCTATGAAATAGAACTGGCAACCTCCGGCGCTACTGTGGTGTCATTACCTGCGCCGCGGCAGGAGAGGAGCTTTACGTAATCGGGCTTGACAGTGAGCATTTGACTGCTGCCTCGCCAGAAACATACAGCTCACATGTCTATTTTAAGTTCCTCTTTGGCTCTCAGAGGCTTTTTATGCAAAACTCCTTCAAGTCTTAAAGAAGACGAGTTAGAAAGAAAATGGACAGGAGTTGCTGTTTTTCTCTGTAGTTTATTATTGCGAATTGACTATTGTTGCTTATTGATTATAGTTGGGTTTGGTCTGTTGGTTGGATCAAGACATTTGATGATGCCATCTTGGACGGAAACTCCCCTTTTCACTATTTTTCTGACACTCAATAGAGAAGAAAATAAAGTCCTTCTCTTGAGCATCTGCGGAGAGCGAATACAATGTACTGCCTTCTGAAGACGTTGTCATACTAAATTTAGATGTGATTATATGTGATTCTAATAACCTGTATTCAGTTCACAGTGGACCCTCTCAACATCATGTGTGTGTGCGGCGTCTTACGTCAGAGTCGGGCAGCAGGTCGTCCTCATCGTCCAAGCTGTAGGACGCACTGTGGAAGTCCTGCGTCTCGGCCAGCAGCTTCCTCTCCAGCGTGGAGCCGGGCCGAATGTCCACAAATGTGGTCTCCAGGTAGTCTTTGCTGAGCAGGGAGTCCGCGTGGCCCCAGATGGGAGCCGGCGGGTAAAAGGACTCCAGCGTGCGGGGTAAGGAGCAAGGGTCCAGCGGCTGCTGCTGCTGAAGCTCAGGACGATGTCCAGGATAGCTCCTCCAGGCCAAGGGAGGGTAGGCCCTGTCCTCCTCACACTTCACCAAGATGCCCTTGAACATCCCGCCAGGGGCCGGTCCGGGCCCGGGCCTCGGGCCCGCCCCCGATGCCCGGCTGCCATGGGGGCCTTCTCCCAGAAGAGGGTGCTCCAGCTCATCTATATTCTCCATCCGTCTCTTTTAAAGCCAACCGCACAAGAGGACACCGCATCCACGGCCAAATGTATTCTACGAATCGGTCCGCGGAGCGACTCCCTGAAGAGATTCAGTGGGTTTACGCAAAGGCAGCTGCTTTGGCGGCTTTAGTGTTTCAGTGATAATCCATCCGTAATCCTATTCTTTAACTTTTCTCTTATTGCAGGCCTCTGTCCAGAGGCTGAGAACACACGCCAGGTTTATGAAATATCCTTTATGTTCCAGTGGTGCCCGTCTCCTGTGTGCCGTGATATGTGATGAATTTGTTCAGGGGATTCAAGATCCTCTTTTCCTCACATGTCGGTTGCTATTTGTTTCAGGGCTTCATGGCTCGGGGTTCGCCCCGGCGTCTTTCATTTCACATGGTTGAGTGCGTCAGCGTTCATGAATATGCTAATGTTGGCTCACTCACTCTCTCAGACAATGTGGGAATGTCAATTCTGATGATGGAGGGAGGACCTTGATTAGACACTGACAGGCTCGCGAAAACACCGGGGAAAGGGTTTTCCGTGTGACCGGCCCTCAGGAGCTGATGGAAACCGTCTCTGTCAATAAACACAAAGTCTTAATAATCGAAGCACAGTGTCACGTTGTCAAAATGAAAGTCAGTGTTGCGAGTAAAGAAACAATTGTGAAGAGAATAACAAAAAAGTCTTTCAGTCCGTTGTGACGTGCAGCAGTGTGTTTGTTTCCGGGGGGTAGAGGAGAGAGGAGGGGGGGCAGCAGTCTAACTAGTGTCGGATTGGGGCCATATTTGAGGGCAGTTAATCTGTAAAAGCAACCCGGCTCCAGAAATAGAATCCTATGCCGCGCGGCGGAGGGTCAGCGGTTCGGCCAACAAGCCGGTTCCTCTGCTGCCGCTGCAGGAAGCCGTGGTTAAGAAATCAAAAGTCCTCCGGTGTTGATTTATGGCTGCGGGTTTGCTGCCTGGTTAGGCAGCGCCCCTTTGGGACATGTTTTTTTAATGTCCCTCCATCCACCTTATTAGGGTTTCATTCGTGACAGCAGTCGAGTCCTTCTCTTCCTGTTGAGAAGGACGAGGACGTCTTTCAGAGAGGAGCTGAGCTCACACTAATATATTTTGACTTCAACCTCTTTCTCGAGCAAGCTGTCGTGTGGACAGTTTATTTTTCCTCTCGGACTAGACGCATACCCCCCCACACACCCACACACCCACACACACACACACACACACACACACACACACACACACACACACACAACCACACTAATTGGGCTACATGACTGAACCCAGCCCCAAATTCCCATCAGATACAAGACGTCAGCCCAGTGGTGCTATTTGAAAGGCTGCCACTAAAGAGGCAAAAAAACAATGGATCAACCCAAAAGTAGAGTTAACTTCTCCTGGGGTCAGTGCTTCATCTTCGCCCCCCGAAAACTCTTGGTGAGTCCCCACAATAAATGCAAGTAAAAGCAGATAAAAGAGCCTGATTATACTTCCCTCTAGAAAGGATAGCGGACATGTCAGTGAGAACTAGGGACACACTGTAACTCCGCCACGCGGCCTGAGCATTGGACATAACCCTCATACCCTCAGCGTACCAGAGCGGTAGCTGCAATGTAACACTTATAGTTTTTTAAAGCAGACAGATGCTCATTTTCTACTGGGGAGAGTCCTTAAGAAGTTGCATTGTATGAAAAAAAGGATGTTTAACTGAGACCGTATATGGATTAAAATGTACACAAAGATTTAGCTGATCTATATGTACGTTTACGTTTTCCACACCACACTGAGATAAGCCCCTTGGAAAATGGATGAATGGTTGAACGCTGGAGGCCAATTGCTCCCGTAACATGAAGTGACAAGGGACATCAAAACCTTTCCCAGCGGTGCTCAGATCACATTTGGGATACTTTGTGTAAAAATTCTAAAATTAGCCCCCAACTGAGGGGTGAGGGCATACTGCCGAGAGAAGGGATGATTAAAAGTGTTGAGGATCCTTTCATTAAGGAGAATGTGCGTTTTGAACAAACCACATAATATCTCATTAGTAAGTAAGTCATTCTGCATGGCAGAGTGCTTCGCGGGCTGCAGATCAGTTCAATGACTCGTTGTTGCACGTCTCAGTGCACAGAGACAAACAGGGTGACGCAGAAGTCGTACCTCTCATAGCGAACGCGCTGAGCGATAGTTCAATGACGTCAGCAACGACTTCGAGCACCCCCCCCCCACACTTCGAAACATATGGTGCATCCCACC